GTGTAACCCTCAGATTTACATATACATTTATGTCATCTTTTGGGTGCTTGCATCATTGCATTTCCCACCATTTTGATCTTAATTTCCTGAATCCCTCGGCTCCCATCACTCTGCCTAGGTGCTACAGGTACACGCACCCAAAGGAAGGAAAACAGAAGTGTTCCGATGAAGTCCTCAAGCTTTGGAAAGACCCTGAGGGACGTAATTGTACGCAGAGTGATATAGTTAAATACACAACTCTTTCAATCGCTGCATCACATCACACAATATCACACCTGCATCACACAATATAGGGATCCCAAAACCTTAAATTGGCCTAAAAGTTTCAGGATTTTTCGGGATCAAAAACTGTTTTGAGACATTCCCAGAAGGGCCTTCTGCGTGAAGGATCATTCGCCGAGGTTTTCAGTGAAGCTGAAGAAGTGGAAGTCCTCCAGGGAGGGAAACAAAGGTTGGGTGGTTGGGTGACAAAATCTTACCTTAAGGATTTTCGGAAGTGGAACAAGAATCTCGTATTACCATGCATTTGATTTTCAGCTCCGTAGGAATGGGGGATCCCTCTCTCTGATTTTCTGACCAAGGACAATGATCAACAATGCATGGGCTTGGGCGGAGCGTCATAACAAGCTTAGAAAGAATGAGGAGCACGGAGAATGGGAAGCCAAAATCATCCAAAATCATTCTCGATGATCAATTCAAGTTCAATGAAGCCGAGGGTTTCGACTCAGAGCAATCCACTGCTATGGCTGTGGAGGTGCCATGACCAAACACTGTGCACACACTATATGTGGACAGTCTACATGCATTTCCCGTTATTGATGGCAACCCCCAAAAAATATTCGAAATTAATTGATTGGCCCCCCTGAATTCAGGACAGAACTGGTGCTTTCTTCGACGATGTGCCGGTTGACATCACGGCACCAGCAGAGGAGCTCACAGCTCATGTGAGGGATGGGGATCATACAAACCCGGAAAATGCTGCACTTTCGAAATCGGTGTCCTTCAAGTTACTCTCCCGCAAGAAGAATTCGTACATATTATACGGATTAAGAATTTGTGGCATGCAATCTGCAAGTGGTTGCATAATATTATATAATCCTATTTGCCCCATATCCGATATCTGGATTTTTGAGTTATAAGTTATGTGTTCTTATCATTTTCAAGTGGGCATGTCCAACAATCATGCACGGCGATGCCAAATCGTGAGCACTTCAGCAGAACACAAGCGCGATCGCAATCCTGCCACAGTTCATCAAAGTTTGCGGCCGGAAGATTGACAGCTGCACTCCAATCTTGGAGTCCTGGCTTGGCATATCATGGGATGATGGGCTGTGTGACCTTGAAGCACCCTTGGGTTTTGATAATCAAAATTGATCACATCATAGCTGAATGAGACATTCATGAGCGCCGTACTTCTTAGGAGAAATTGGATGGCAATGGATCAAACCAAGCAAAGGAGCTGGGGCCTCAATCGCCCCAATTATCCACGTGACTCAATCCAACTCGACCATTCTTTCTCAGGTTGCGTGCCAGCGGCTCGAAACAAGTTGACAACATGAACCGTATCTACGAAGAGTTGGAAGCAATCCAAGCTGATGCAGTCGCCAACACCTTGAGCGCTGGGTTACTTAGCTCATATGAGCTCATTGAGGTGTTGCTTCAGTCATGCAACCTAAGTATTTGCAGTTTCAAGGACTCAGAGTTTGGGCGCTTAAAAAAACAAGGCCTGATGTGTCTAAACACCTCTTGGCAAAGTATGCGCAGCTTACAAAGATGGATGTGGCGTTGAACAATTTGGTGGTTCGATTTATATGCATACATGTAAAAATCATATAGTAATGTAATATACGCATGAATCGGCATCCCAGCTTGTACCCCAGAATTCTGCCTCCACATACGGCCTCCTTGTTCGTCCACAGCTTCCAGGTCTGTGAAGACTGCCCCACAGAGCAAGCCTCCACCTCCTGCAAAAAAGCCAGTGGGGAAAGCCAATCCAATTACTTTACTTCGTGATCCCCACCATGACATTTATACATTTTCTTACTGGCAAATCTTCTGGCATCCTATCTGACATATATATCTTCTGACATTCTATTTGGCATTCTATCTGGCATATCTTCTGGCATTCTATCTGGCAAATCGTCTGGCATTCTATCTGGCATATCTTCTGGCATTCTATCTGACATATCTTCTGGCATTCTATCTCGCATATCTTCTGGCATATATTCTGACATATCTTCTGGCATTCTATCTGGCATTCTATCTGGCAAATCGTCTGGCATTCTATCTTGCATATCTTCTGGCATTCTATCTGACATATCTTCTGGCATTCTATCTGGCATTCTATCTGGCATTCTATCTGGCATATCTTCTGGCATATATTCTGGCATATCTTCTGACATTCTTTCTGACATTCTTTCTGGCATTCTATCTGGCATATCTTCTGACATTCTATCTGACATCTTTTCTCACATTCTTCCCGTTGAGGTCCGGCAGTGCCCACTGCGATCTGGAAGTCGCGGTTGAGGTCCGGCAGTGCCCACTGCGATCTGGAAGTCGCGGTTGAGGTCCGGCAGTGCCCACTGCGATCTGGAAGTCGCGGTTGAAGTCCGGCAGTGCCCACTGCGACCTGGAAGTCGCGGTAGAAGTCCGGCAGTGCCCACTGGGATCTGGAGCTCGCGGTGGAGGTCCGGCTGTGCCCACTGGGATCTGGAGCTCACGGTGGAGGTCCGGCTGTGCCCACTGGGATCTGGACTGCGAGGAGGAGGCGGCGGGTGAGGAGGCGGAGGAGGCAATGGAGGCGGAGGAGGAGGAGAACAGCTCTGATAAAATCTAACAACCCTCACCTGGCAGGTGGGGAAAAAAACAACAAACAACCGGGGAAAGGGCAAAGCCGCCAAAGATGGCGAAGAAGAGTAGGCTTGCAAGTTCTTTTTTGGCGTTTTGAACTTACTGTATTGGGCTGGGCCCAGGCACACAGAGCTCCACTGATTGTCTTATCTATGGTAAGTTTAGGATGTATGAAACAATTATTTCCAGCGGTCGAGCTTTGATTTGATGGCCTCACTTATGCCAGCCAATTTTGATAGAAGCCTGAGCATACCGAGGAGCAAAACGGCACGGTACAAAAGATCATATGCGACATGCATACTGCACTGCTAGAACACTTTGTTGTCATATGTTGCCATGTGTACCATAAAATACTTGGGTGATCACCCTGCAAAGCGCAAATCAGAAATATGCAGCTCCCTGAAACTTCATGATCAATACAAATATGCCCACATGACGTGTTCTTATCCAATTATATCCAGCCACACGCAGGTGTGACTGAGGATGAGCTACATGTCCCAACGCCAAAAGGCGCCCCACCTACTGATCACCTACTGTTGCCAAAAATGCCACAGCTAGTTGGATCATACAACAAACCATGTGTACAGAAGCACCCCAACCAGCCAAGAATCAGAACTGTCCTGTGCAGGTGGAATATTGGACTCTGACTCGGACAACGACACCGACCTGGCCGATGAGTTCTTGATTGGCTTTGAACAAGGGGTTCTCTGGCTGCGATAATTTTCCCCCATGGGTAAAACTTCAACATTGCGCTTAAAATCTAAGGCTGAGTCTGCTTCCAGAGTGGACCGACTGGCAAAGGTGGCAAACAACAAGTTCAAGAAGCATGGAAACTGGGACTGTTAGTTTGGGTGTGTTGTTTGTTGGGTCGTACATTCTCAGCACATGGTCAAACATATTGGTGCTTCTTTCTATTCAGGAGTGGTCGATCCAATGATGGCACTTATGGCTAAATGTGGTCGCAAACGTGTGGACCCCCATGCGTGCAGAAACCTTCACAGTCTGATTTGGCGAACAGGAAAGGTACTGCCGGTGACCATTTCAACTGTGACTATGAGAAAACGTATCTCAAGGAGACAGCTTGCTGCCATTCCAACACTCCACCCACTCTTGAAACTAAGCGATTGGGCATTGACTATATTCAAGTATGGGGGCCATTTCTTTCTCAGAGGCAAATCCTTGGAACATGCCGGAAGCTTTGGAGAGGAATTGAGCGACTTTACCGGACCCCGAGAGGTGGCATCAGCACATTCCATGGGGATGCATCCGTGGGGATGAAGGGCGGGGACGTCAGGGTCAACCAGTGTTTGTACTGTCATACCAGCCGCTTCTCCCCCTACAAGATCAAAAGTCCACTATGGCAGTGCACCTAGGCTTTCTGTTGGGTCCTTTAAGTTCTGGGTGATTGTTTCAGTTTCAATGATGGGCTATACCAGCTTGCACAATGTGGTATCTTTGGGGGCCATGCCAACAGTCCCAGGCAAACCTTGTGCACCCGGTTGCTCTTCACGCTGCTCCCGTCCCCATATTCAAAAGAGAACTTGAGTATTGTTCTTGAAGAAATGGTGAAAGATTTGAACCACATGCATGCTGAGGGCATCACAGCAACCCCTTTCAGTTTCAACAGATTTTCATATGTTCCCTGGTACCAGCCTTTCAACATGCCCACAATTGTGTGAACCCTCACTCTGCTGCCGTGTCCAGGTGGAGTGGCACGGCAAGCAGTACACGTACTTCTTCACCTACACAGGGTGCAAGGGGGACTGGCTGTTCTTACGGGCTGCCTTTGGACTGAACTGTGGATACAACTGCACAAGGAAATGCCATCGATGTGACATAACCGACCCATAGCTGAACTATATATCTATTTGATCCAATATCTACCCTTAAGATTGTGTAGTTGTAGCTGGTAGTACCAGCCTGATACCTTTGTCTATCATCTGTTTGGGCCCTGCTTTCTCCGCTCAGGAATGGTATGATGTCAAGACTGCTGTGAAAAAATGGGATGAACCCTTTCTGGGAACATTGGAGGAGTCCCCTTCGGGATTTGCCTACAGAGGAGGGTTGCCGGTTTGTGAGGATAGACTCGGATAGACCCTGATGATGCCCTGCCAAACCACCAGACCCTGGCTACCAGCTTCCAAGCCTCCTTAGGCAAGAAGCTCCTTCGCATTTTTCACCTCGCTTTTGGCCCACTTCGTTGGGCATTCGGCGGCCGTTTGGCCCTTGAAAGAAAACAGCTCCAGGTAAGGGCTTATGAGACCGAACCTGATAGGTAAAGGATTTGAATGTGCAAGTGCAAAAAATGAGAGGCAATATCAGCACTCCCCCTTTAAAGTTCCGGATTGGAGCTTTCACAGCCAGGCTCAAGCTGTTCTCACTTGGTGGCTTCTAAACATGCAGTGCAAATTGGAAGGTGATTCGCTCCAAGTGCAGTCGGACATCGCATATCTGAATGTGCTTCGCTTTCATACACTTTCAGAAACAGGGTGGCACCAAGAGCAGGAGTTGAACCGTTTTGATATGCAGAGCGTCGGCAACGACTGCGGCGCCATGTAGCCCTTCTCTGTGACAAGTGCAGGTGGCCTCACGATCAGGATAGCTTCTTGATCACCCTGATCCATCAAAGCGTTGAGAAGAGAAGTCTTTATGTCAATGACTGCACCAGCCCATTGATGGCGGGATGCTGCCCAGATGGACAGGCGAAAGGCGGCGGCATCAGCGCCGCTGGAGAAGGTTTTTTCGGAATCCTTTTTGGACTCGTAGTTTCCACAAATCACCCAACGAGTTTTGCGCTTGCCGCCATTGGGACCAGATTTGATTGTGAAGACCAACTTGGACGGAATGATCTCCACAGTGCGGCCTTCTTGAGCAGCTTTCTTTTGAATCTCCTCCAGTTCCTTTCTTGTGATCTTTTTCAAAGCTTCCTTTTCTTCTAAAAGACTTTGAACTTCTGCATCGATGGCTTCCAGCCAACTTTTCCAACTTCTGGCAACCTCTCTTGTCGAGATCACTTTCGTTTGGAGAATTTTGTCCTCCTCACTTGGTTCTTCCATCATTCTCTTCATCTTCGCTACCCATTTGAGTTCTTCTACTGCTATGTCAGGGTCGTCTTCGACCATGTACTTCATCTCTTCTTCTATCATTTTTCCCAGCCTCTGCTTCAGCTGATGAGACTTCTCTCTTTTTGCTTCCTCCTCATTCTTTGAATCTTTCTCCTCAACTTCTATCTTTCTCACTGATGTTTTCTCTCGCAACCTTCTTCTGGTGGTCAAAGCATCAGCGACCTCCTTCTCAATTGCGACCCATTTCTGGTCAGTGATTGGTTCTTTTGCTTTTCGAAGGACATATTTGGTGACTCTTGGCGGTTCATCTTCAGGCTGAACCCAATGTCCATGCTCTTCTGGAGCTGGAAACAGGTACTTGACGGTTTCCACGGTGGGCTCAAAGACACCCTGTCGCCATGTGCGACGTCTGACAAGGACGTCCTGCATGAACGGTGGAAAGCTTGGAGCATCGCCAAGTCGCCAGCTTCTATTCAAGGCATCAGCATAGCGAGCAGCTAATGGCCAACATTCGCTGCCCACATCGGCTTGTTTGCTTGTTTGAGTAGCCAACGGATTTGTGGTTTGAAACTTTTCACAGCCACTTCCACACGGCCATTCGCGCGAGGATCATCTCCAGGTGTGCATGTCAGCACTATGCCACGTGAGTTGGCCCATTTCCGGAAGACCCCGGAGAATTCATGACCTCGATCTGAACGTATTCTTCCAATGTGGAAGCCATCCATCCTGAGCTTGAGGATGAAGTCCATGGCTGTTTTGGTGACTTCTCTCGCAGTTTTGGTGATCATAGCTGCAGCTAAGCCTAAGCGGAAGATCTTGATGTCGAAGCCTCCAGGTTTGGGATCTTCTTCTCCTTCTTTCTTTTCAGGTGGAGGCAAGAGATAGGGTGGCTCAGGCGGAGCTCCCCCTGGGACCGAGACTTCTTCTTTCTTCTCTTCCCCTCCTTCTTTAACCTCATCCTCTTCACCCCAAACATCAACTGGATCTTCTTCATCTTCCTTCTCACCTGCTGCCTCCTCTTGACCTTCCTTCGCTTGAACTGCATCTTTTCCTTCTTCATCTTCAGGGTATACCTCAAAGTGAGGTTAATTTCCATCAGCTTTCGGAACTTCAGGATCTTTCATCTTGTCTGATTCAGCGGGGACTGCCCATGTCAGAGTGCCAACCAACATCCATCTTGCGTAGAGACCTCCAATATCTTTTGCTGGGACTAACGGTCCAGCAACGTCCAAGGAAAGAACTCCTCCAACTGGATATGGAACTTTTCTGTGAGGATGGCACTGCTGCATAGTTTGTTGACATACTGCACAATCTCGACGATATGGAGTATGCCCATGGGCAATGTGTTCATCCCAGCTCAGAGGACGCAGCATTGGGTTGCGCTGCATCACTTGTGTTGTCAAAGCTTCAGCAACCATCGCCATGACGCCAGGGGCCCATCTTGAAAGGCCTTTTGAAGATTTTATCTCCACTCCTTCACTTGCTTTCTTCATTCTTTTGTGGTTGTTGACCTCCAGCTTCAAGTTTCCGCCAAAGGTTGTTGGTTTGGTAGCGGAGCCACCATATTGACCCTGTGCAAACGTAGTTTCATCCCAACCAAACTCCTTTTTCAAGGAGGACCATTCTTTGGTATCCCAAAAGGACACAACTTCTGGCTTGTAGTCCTTGGGCGATGCTGGCTGTTCCAAGGTGAAGCCAACAGGTCTTGGATCTTTTCGTGCCTCATTGATGTAGTTGGAGACCATGGCCAGGAAGATCATGCGCCAAAGGAGGATGTCATCTTCTTCAATCATAGTTTTTTCAGTATCTGAGAGTCCATTGATTCCATATTCTCCTCCTCCCCATGACCTGATTGGGCGTGGACATCACAAACTTCGGAATGGCGACCAGCTTGTGGGGAGATTAATTTGTAGGGATTTTTGGGCATCTCAAAAAGTACTTTTTGAGCTATTTTGAGCCAAAAGTGACTCGTGCTAGCATCGTGATAACATCAACGTGTTTCACAGGTTTGAAAACGTGACATTGAACAACTTTGAACCCAAAAACCAAAAAATGAACCTTTGAAATGAAATTTGGTATTGCGTTTGTGTGTTTTCATTGGTTTTTGTTCAAAGCTTGAACTGACATGAAATATGGTGTTGTCATTGTTGCCGTTGTGAATAGCCTTTGTCACTTGGGTCAATTGTCATGAGGCTGCCACCTAACATGTGAACACGAACAAGTCAGCAACTTCAAAAGTAGAAAAAATGAATATTTTCAAGGGAATAACATTTTTCATTCGTTGGGTAATGTATAAAGTTTGATGTTTGATCGCTGCGCCAGCATATAGTCACATTGCCAACACTGGCCAGCACCAAAAAATATCTACACATATGTCTTATGTACGCAAGCAGAAATACATGTGTAAACAAAAACGTTTTTTTAACGCTACCATGTGTACGCAGGAAATGAAATATACAAGCAGAACATAGATATGAAACGTTTTTTATATAATAAAAGCGTGCTTATACAACAGTATCTAACCGTGAACATTGTTGAATATGTACTGGCATACCTGTTTACACTTGAGTGTATACATGCATACGGTTGTGGACCTGGAAATTGAAAAGTCAATATGTGTGGACGTGCACACATACCTATCCTTTGAAAAAGGCACTAACTAATTAGCATTTATGTTTACAAACCTTAATTACGATGTGTTTCCTTAATTGAGGTTTGTTCTTCAGTAATTGAGGTTTGTTTGCGCAAGAAACAAACTTTAGTTAAGGGAACAAAGTTTCAGTGGAGACTGTGGTTTTGTAAGGTTTGTTTTGAAGGCTCGTTTTTTGACACATGTTGGCACACATGTGTGATTCTGCGTAGGCATGCAATGGGCAAAAGGAACATATATACACAAATGTATATATATATATATATATATTTGAGAGAGAGATATATATATATATATATATATATGTAGATGTATTTTTACAATAATACACGCATGTTCAATAATCAACGTCGCACTTTATTTTATTTGTGGAGGATTTTGCGCATAGTCTTGTTGCATTTGTTGTTTTCCATGCCGTACGTCGTTTCCGATGCTGTATGGATAATAAACGGATAAGTTGTAAAAAATACGTTGGTAACACATGGAAAATGAGTGGATGATAAATGGATAATATAAAGAAAATACGTGGACACTAAATTGATAATATCTACATATTTGATTTAATTTGGAAAATATTTGGCGAGTAAACTGGAAATAAATGGAAACTCAGGAAATGAACGGATTATAAATGGATACTCAATTTATAAAAAAATTAAATGGATTTCGTATTGCCTGTTTCTACTTCAAACAGATTGGACAAGGAATTTTGTATGGCCTATCTTTCTACTTTGCTTTTGGTCCTAGATACTGGCCTTATGTTGAGTCTATACTGAAAAATGCTGCCCTTGCTTTTGGTCCCAGAAGATGGCCTTTTGTTGGAGGAGGGATTTCGCATTGCCTTTTTTCAACTTTAAACATCTTGGAGGAGGGATTTCCGATGGATAGCACATGGATGAACAATTGGTAAAAAAGGGATAGTATTCTTATATGGATAAAGCATGGATGGTACATGGATAATGCATAAAGCCAAATGGATAATAGCTGGATATAATGGCTGAACAATGGATAATATTTGGAAATTTGGACGGAAATGTGAAACTTTATGGAAGGAAACTGATAATATATGGAAGCAATAAAAAAAAATATTGGACGATATATGTATGGCATATGGATGAAACAATGATGACAGAATGGAAAATACATGGAAAATAAATTGCTAGTACATCGATAACAAACGGACGAGCACAAGACAATATGTGGTGATATATGGGTAGTAAATGGATAATTAATGGATGATAGATTGATAATAGCTAAATCCAATGCATGATTAATGCCAAATACATGAATAAACAATTGACAACAAATGGATAAACAATGATTAAACGGATAATAAATGGACAATGAATGGATACTATACATGGATAAAACATGGATAACTTATGGATAACACGTTGATCGCAAATGATATTGAATGTGTTATATGGACGCTAAATTAAGAATAATAGATGGATAAAATATGGATGGTATGTGGGTAGAATTGCTCAAAATCTTTTCAATTGCTCGAAAATGGCTTGCTATAGACCAAAACAAGTATTCAAACGCAATGGGCCTGGCCAGAAAAGTTTGCTCAAAATTGGCCTAAGGATTGCGTCTAGACTAAAACAAATATTAAAATAAAATGGGCAAAAACGTTACGACCTAGCTTCAATCTCCATAATTTGTGAATTCCAATTGTGCAGGAATGACATGTAGATTGAAAGGACTATTCAAATATACAATTTGCTGGCCGAACAAATTCCGCTCAAAATCGCTCAAAATCGCTCAAAATTGCTCAAAATTGCTCAAAATTGCTCAAAATTGCTCAAAATCAACTCAAAATGTCTCAAAATGTCTCATACCTGCCCCAAAAATCCGCTCAAAATTGCTCAAAATCAACTCAAAATGTCTCAAAATGTCTCATACCTGCCCCAAAAATCCGCTCAAAATTGCTCAAAATTGCTCAAAATTGCTCAAAATTGTTCAAAATGTCTCAAAATGTCTCAAAATGTCTCAAAATGAGTTTTGAGAAAAATTGAGTTGATTTTGAGACATTTTGAGACATTTTGAGACATATTGGGACAGATTGAGACATTTTGAAGCAAACTGGTAGTTGCTGACAGTGCCAAAGGCATGAAAAAATGTAACGCTGTCGCAAACTTTTTGAAACCGAAAGCAAACAGATGTGAATATTTACAAAAAAAAATTGATGAAATGGTGCTTTTGCTTATAGTACCGCAGCATGAATACTTACAGAAAAGTTTGATGAAACACTGTTTTTGCTTATAGTACCGCAGCATGAATGCTTACAGAAAAGTTTCATGAAACACTGTTTTTTGCTTATAGTACCGTAGCGTGAATACTTACAGAAAAAAATTTTCCGCGAAGCTTGAAGGTTGCAACATGGAAAACATTTGGAAAAAAGAGTTTATACAAGAGTGCCGTGGCAAGAGTGCCTGCCTGCATGTCAGGTATGCTCAATTTAGGGCTCATCTCCAGTAGTAGCGTCTTGTAAGAGTGTCCCAAAACTGTGTCATAGCATCATAGCAGAAGTGTTGCTATTTAATGGACATAATCTGCCCTAAATCTATGGACACAACCTGCCACTAATTTATGCACATAACCTGCCACGAATATGGACATTACCTGCCAGTAATTTACCGACGTAGCCTGCCAATTTATGAACATAACCTGCAACCAATCTATGGGCATCACGCCGAACCCGGGGGGATCTGTCAAGCGGGGCAGCCGTGTCTTGCAAGAGTGTCCACAAGAGTGTCGTGGCAAGAGTTTCTTGCTGTCCCGCAAGAGTGTCCCATAGCCTGCCACTAATTTATGGACATAACCTGCCACTATTCTATGGAAATTACCTGCCAATAGTTTATGGACGCGACCTGCCATTAATTTATGGACATAACCGGCCAAGAATTTATGGACGTAACCTGCCACTAATTTATGGGCATAACCTACCACTAATTTGTGGCCTTAACGCCGACCACGGATGTATCAGTCAACTGGAGCAGCAGTGTCTCGCGAGAGTGTCCACAAGAGTATCGTGGCAAGAGTGCCTGCCTAAAAGTGAGGTATGCTAAATTTAGTGTGCCTAAATGGAATTAATGGAGTTTAGGTATGCATGTTAGGCTTGCCTAGAAGTGAGGTATGCTAAATTTAGTGTCCCTAAGTGCCATTTATAGAGTTTAGGGATGAAAAAATGGCGTCGCCTAAGATTTGCCACTCTTTGCACTCCAAGTGCTGTTCCTTCCACTGTCGCCGTCGTCGCTTGAGCCATAAAACGAAAACAGTTTTTTCAACCTTTTCGTAAAGGATGTTTCTAGGGTGTGAGGGTCTGCTTTGGTGATTTTCCCGTTGGTTTGGTACTGCTTTGGGGATTAAAAAGGGGCGACTTTTTAGCCCCAAAAAGGGGCTCCAAAAATAGGTCAAAAAGGCGCCCCCCAAAGTCCCAAACCAAACGGAAAATTACTAGTCTGCTTATTGGTTCTTTCGCTCCCCTCATCATCCTAGCTCCCCCTTCTGTCGCTACACGCATTACAGTGGCAACGGCCAGATGAAGTGAGGATGCAGACAACCGTATTAGCTAACCAAGTGAAGCCACGAACCTGGATGCCAAGAACAAAAATCCTACCCTGCAGAAAAAGGATCCTAAATAAAAAATATATAAAAACAAATCTTGTAACCCTCCTAAAGGCTCCCGGCGGAGTGGATGAAGACGTCCCTTCTGACAGACAAGGGGGGGACACAATGGGGTAAGGGAAGCTATTAATAAATTAGTGGCAAGTTATGCCCATAAATTAGTGGCAGGTTATGCCCACAAATTAGTGGCAAGTTACGTCCATAAATTAATGGCAGGTTATGTCCGTACAATTAGTGGCAGGGTATGTCCAGAAACTAGTGGCAGCCTGTGGGACAACCTTGTGGTGTGGACACTCTCGCAAGACACTGCTGCCCGAGTTGACTGATCCATCCGGGGTCGGCGTTATGTCTGTAGATTAGTGGTAGGTTATGCCCATAGATTAGTTGCTATGCCAATCAATTAGTGGCAGGTTATGTCGATAAAATCTTGGCAGGTTGTGTCCATAAAGTAGTGGCTGGTTATGTCCAAAAATTACTGGAAGGTAATGTCCATAGATTAGTGGCAGGCTATGTCCG